CTAGACTGTTTGATTAGATGATCTTGAACACCTTGACCTCTACACCACAACTCGACAGATGAAACCCAAGCTAAATAGTTTGAACCTCCCATTAAAGGTTCCGAGGTAATAATAGCACTAGAACTTCCAGAACTCATGTTTCTAGACCCAAAAGCATCAAATCCCAAAGACATTGTTGCAAATTATTACCAAATAAGAGAAAGAATCAACTGTAATCCACTGAAACAGAGTACGGAAAAACAGACACAGAATACTGAAATACTGTAGCTGCCGGAATCTACTGTAGTTGTCGGAATAGTACTGTAGCTGTTGGAAAAAACTCAAAGTTGTCAGAATGAAATGAAAACAGTAGGGGTAGGATCGGAATTACCAGGCGACCCAACTGTTCTGAAGGAAGATTTTCAAAAAATGGCCAGAAGTGGTCGTACGCGCCGGCGCGTGAGCTCATGTGCGTGAACTTCTGGTGGCGCGTGAGGAGGCTGTTGCCGGAGCTTTTCACTGGGGTTTGGTCGCCGGACAGTGACGACTCTTGTGGTAGTGTTGGATTTTGCACAACACTGACAGAAATGAAGCAGATAGAAAACAGCCTTAAAAAAAGTACCGATTTCCCTTTCCCGGAATCGCTGGAATTTATGCACAGGGATAAATCTCTCACAATTGCTCTGATACCATGTGAGAAGGCACGGGAGAAAATATGTTATTAATATTGGATGAACAATACAATACAAGAGGTCCTTATTTATAGCTATACTATACAAGGACATACTACTCCTCTACCAATGTGGGACAATACTACACTATATACATACTGTAAACTAACAGTATCATTGTAATCAATTCAAAAAATTTAGTGTAACCCTTGGCACTAGACATGTCTTAAGTCAATTAGTTGTACCATCAAAGCCAACTTTGACCGCATATAATCACTGACAACCAATAGTAGATTTACTTGGAGGAGTACCACTACGGTGTAAAATAGACATCTCCTCAATCATAGCATATCAGCATCCTGGATGAGAGAGGGATTCACATGTAGCTTAGGGTACAAACAGAAGACAAGGATGATACAAAGCCATAATGATGAGATGATATATGATGATCACTCAAGAAGACATAATTGGGATTAATTAAGTGGAGCAAATATCTTCTTAAGGGCAATAGGAGGACTAGGGAGATAAATCCACAACATGAAGGGATGTGATGCAGGGCATGTCATCTTTTGGACACGATATGCAGTGATTGCGACGATAATAAGTCAACTGAGGTGGAGCTAGAGAAATTGTAGGAGATGTTAGAGGAGAATGATTGTTGTGAGAGCAGAAGGAAGTGTGCATATAGAGACTTCAAAAAAAGGTTTGTGTAAGGCATGAGAGATGTCAAGATAGTCAGAAAAAGATGTGAATTAAGGTTAAGTCTGAGAAAAGGTGATCTCAACTGACATAAGGTAATAACACAAGCCAGTTGAACTGCAGCGGCATGTCGATATCCCTTCTGAATCTGAGAATAACCATGAAACACATATTTGAGAGCAAGGAGTTAATTTGTCTTTCCAAGGGATTAAGTTATGAACAAAACATGTGATGTGAATGTGGGAATAAAACTTATCTCTCCAAGGGATTAAGTTGAACAAAACACGTGTTGTGAATGTGGGAATAAAACTATGTATTTTGGATAACAGAGGAAGGCATACAATTAACCAATTAGAAGATGTGAGAACCGTAGACATGTCTCCCACGTTATATGTGGATGTAGCAATATAATTTCATAGTCATTCTTTCACCACGATGGACTTGTGGCAGTTTTCTAAAGAACGAGATCTTTATGTAAGAATCTAATTCTTCGAGGAAGTAAGATCTGGATTAAATACATAATATATTTTTTTTCACTTTGTTGTTTAGGATAAGATTGAAAATTTTGACTCGCAAAAATGGACCCAGAGAAATCAAAAACTGGGGAGGTACTTACTGGATTTTTTTGATGTCTGAAACTGCTAAGGTGGCACTCTAACAGGATAAATGACATGTCAAATTACGTGGTTTATGTGCTGACTGGATAACATCTAGGACAATAAGCACAGCCACGTGGACTTAGCTGACTGGACTGACACGCTGGAAGCTGAGAGGAGTATTTACATCGCATTGGCATGGACTGACAAATGCCATGTGTTGCTGACATTCCATACATATGGCACCAATTGGGACGGGTTTGGCACGTGTCCATGTGACTTTACACTCTAGCGAGTGGCTGAGACTGTGGCGGCACTTGCAGGCGCATCCTATGGTACAATAGTGTACGGTTTGGATCAGTGCCAAGACCAAACACCTAATATGGTTGATTGAAGATTTGGTAACGTGACTAACACAAAGTTCAAGGTAGTGAATGAACCACTTCATAAAATTTTCTAAAAAGTATTATGTTGACTAAGTCGACCTAGACTCTGATATTTTCCCTCCTTAGCTTTGATACTCTGTGAAATAAAGAGATAAGTAGATAACTATTTTTCTTGATTATAGAAAAACTCAACACATGGTGTCTCGTTATATAGAAGTTGCTAACCTATTCTAATGAGGTCAATTCTAATTTACAAGGTTCTATTACTACAAAATAATCTCCCAGTTAAAACAAAATGTCTAGAATATTTTTGACACGATTCGGTACAATAGATCTGGCATACTCTTTATAAGTTTCATTCACATTCCACTTTTTTGTGCTCCATGGCGGGAAAACAAGAAGAGAGAAAGAAGTTGGGAAAGCGGAAAAAAAGAAAAAGGAAAAGGAAAGAGAAGATAAAAGGTGGTACCTTTTTCTTCTCTTGATATTTTATCAAGCTTCGTCAATTTGAAAGGAAAAACAAATCATGAACTTTAGCATATAAAACGTAGATCTAGTGTGTATTCTCACTGTTCAAAGGTTATGTGCCACAACCTAAGACTGAAGGAAAAACAATAACTAAGCCTCAACCCCAACCCCGAACAATTTGGGGTCAGTTATATGAATCCACACTGACCATGTTACTCCTAAGACTGAAGGAAGTACCCGCATTTTACCTATCTGTAGAAGAAGAAGCACTTTGCCTAAGTGTCATAGTTACTTTTTGTATAACATCCAAATCTGATGCCACCTTTTAGATAGTTGTCCTACATAAATCACTTGAGGTTCAAATCAATTAAGGTAACACTTGATGGAAGTAAACATTGTTTTGAAGTTGTTATACTTTAGCTTTTAATAATTGACATTCCTTTAGATGCCTCAGCAACTTCTCTTATAAAGATCTTAAAGCACAAGGTCATGCCACCTTCCAAAGCTACTAAGATAATACTTGCGTACTTCTTCTTTTTAGTTGCTAGACAAACTTTTTACGCATATTTTCCATATTCCAATGTAGGTCATGTTGAAATTTTATCTAACTAGTAAAATCCTCATGCGTGAATATTTGCATCAGAGCATATTCCTTAGTCTGCTCAGTGTCTACTTTAAAATACCTTTTGTCTTTAGGATAAGACTATCAAGAAAATGAGATCACCAATAGCGAAACCTCACCTGCCATGAAGCTAAACTCTTCAAATGTTTGGGGAGGTTTTCATAGTCATCTTCTGACACAGTTATCAACGACTGAATATCTTCAGATGACTTTAATTCATCATTCATTTTCCCTGTGTTCAGAAAGGCAAGAAACACATCTTAGACACCATGTTGTACTAAGCCTACCAAGGCAATGGTGTGGAGGGCCAAGTTTTGTACCATCACTACTGTCCTGCTTCTTCTCAGTTGATAGATATAATCCCTCTTTCTCATATATAGTGTTAGCTGCAAATCAGAATACAGAAGAGACAAAGGAAAATATCTCAAGTTAGAACATATCATACATGAAAACTAGAGCAAAGCCATCTAGAAACTTTCCTCCTCCAAACAAAATCTAAAGCATAGTTTGAAAGAAAATGGGAAATAATTTTTACTCATATGTCGATATACATCCTTATGATGCCCATTGGGAATGAACATCACATATGTAATATAAATCTACAAGTGAAGAATCTAATGCAATTCACACCTCAAAAAAAAATTCTTAATATTCCATCCAGATATGGAAACTTGGTTTCTAGTATGAAACCCACCTTCAGATGCTATGGTAGCTAGGCAAACATCAGAAAGACCAAGGTTCTGCAAATTCAGAGAATCATCCAGCCTAAAAATGTTAAGTAGCACAGACAATAATCTCCTTTCTTCAAAACAATCGTTCAAAATTCAATTATATGCAAGTTGATGGTGCTGAATTTCTTCTTTGTTCATCAGATTATTTTGTTTTTTTTTTCAGGAGAGATGAAAACAAGTGAAAACCCCTGATTTTCTGGGAGAAGAAAGACATGTCGAGCATGGAGCTTCACTGAATTCACCAAGTGCAAGAATATCCATTACTGTGATTCTGCTAAAAGACGAAAAGTTTACGAGGATTCAAGTAGAAGACTTGTGCTTAATTAAATGAGATAAAACAATCATAAAGGATACAAAGGATCATCTTCAATTTTCTTCAAGTCTAAGCTGCGGTCAGGTGATAAATCTTCCCAAACTTGTGCATCTTCTTCTTCTCCTTCACTGTCTTCATCAATAAGATCGACTTGTGCAGCAAAGAAAATAGCAAACCAGCCAATAAGTAATTACTAAACAAAATAAAATGATTAATCATTCAAAGTTAAGGCAGAATGTTAAAAGAGAACCAGAACTCCTCATATTCCCCAGTATGGCAATCTTACATGTTACAACATACAAAATACATTGGTGATAAAGTAAAAGGTACAAAATACACAATGCTAATACTAGCTCCAGTGGGCGTTCCCTATTTAAAATTTTGAAAATTTCTGTAACAAAGAATTTAGAGCTTTTTCCCTTGGACTTCTGCGGACTCGGTACTGGTTTTTTGACCATAGGGTTATTTGTCACATCACACATTTACATATAATTGTTTTGAAGATTTCATAAGAGGTCCCAATCTGGCACAATTTATGTGCGCAATCAAAAAGGTAGACAATAATACACCACCTCTACCAAAAACCACAAGTCAAACGCATCTGTGATCACAACAGAAGGTACATAACAATAATACTAGCTCTAATGAGCATTCCCCGATTTAAAAATATTTTAAAACTTCATGTGAAACTTAGCAGGAAATTCAATACGGGTACGTGACACTCAAAAGACCGACAATCACTCGAAATCAGTGTGTACACTTGGCTGATGAAATGATACAATGAAAAGAAAAGATTCACATAGGTAATACCATCCACTTGGGATTAATGTTTAGTTATTATTGTTACACTTATAGTAGGTCTGGTGTTAATCAGATAAGCGTGAAATTGACAAAATCTCTAGGTTTAGGGTCCCCAATTTGCCAGGACAAATTCTTGGAGTTTAAGTTTTTTGAGCTGATGGTTTAAAAATATTTACACAGTTAGGTCACTTACATGATAAAAATTAATTGGTAACCTGATAACAATGAGAACCAACTTGTTAAAACAGGTTAAACTAGAGTAATACTGTAATAGTGTCAAAAAAATTACAATGTCAGTTTATTTAACTTAACTCCAATTTTTTATAACCAAAGGAGAATTTTGATGATTTAGACTTGAATGGAATAGAATTATCACTAAAGAATCATATAGCGGACGACAACATTGACTAATTGATAGACTGAATTTACTTACCAGAAGAAATATAACCAAGATTATGGAGACGGTCCTGGAGGGAAAGAAGATGAGTTTGGTTCATTTTGAATACTTCATTGCAATGGCCGAGTAGCTCCTCAAACGACACCGTTTCACAAGACATGGACTCCAGCACGTTGAGGTCACCGCTCAGTGACGATACTCTCTGGTTCAGGCTTTGCACAAAGGTCGTCGATGCAGAATCTGTATACAAACATTATTTTTCAATAATATTAAAGAAAAAAAAGGAAAAACTTTATTAGGAAAGTTAATTATACCAAGAGGAATGGGACGACGATCAAGGGACTCTTTGAGAGCGTGGCAGCTGTTTTGGAGATTGTTACAGAAAATGGCTAGGGTTTTGCAGAATTTGCCTATAGACTCGTCCATTCTAAGCTTGAGGAAAAGGAGAAGAAGCTATTGCCTATTGGGTTCTAGTTCTACGCGGGAGTGAAGATTTTTCGGATTTGGAGAAAAGGGGCAGGGAAACAAACAAAGGATGGAAATCATTTTGAACGAGGAAATTTACCTTTTAGTTCCTAAAATAGTAATATATTTTCATTTTGGTCCTTGTAATATGTGGCTAAGCACATTTAGCCTTTAATTGATTGCAATTTGCACTTTTGATCCTTTTTCTCGTGTATCTTCACAAAATTAACAACTTATTAGTTCTGTAATGTTAAATTTGTATTGTTATTCCATATTTGAAGATAATATGATTCTAAAAAATAATCTAAATATCACATATTTCATACATAAATGGACCTATATTTTAATTATTCTATGTTAAATAAGTTAATTAAGTATTACAAGGACTAAACTCATAATTTACCAATAACTAAAGAATTCAAAGTGCAATTATTCCTTTTGAAAATAAGATCTCTCATCCTTAATAGAACAAAAATATTTATAAATATAGTTTAAATATGAATTGACACAGTATTGTTTTTCATTGAAAACTTAGACAAATAACTATGTAGAGTAAAAGATTCTTTTACGACATTCGAATATTTGTATGTAACTCGTGTATGACAACCCCAATGCTATATTAAAATCATATAAATTTAAAGCTTTTCTGTTTCTCAATATAAATCGGGTAAAGAACATATCATCCTCACACTTGGGCCTTTTTTAAAATTAAGATTATTAAGACGTCGAAATGTATATCTGAATATTAAGATTGAGACGTTTGAATCTGAATACACCTCTGAAGATCAAGATGTATTTTAAGATGTGAAAATTAAAAAATTTAAGACTCTTTGATTTTTCAACATCTAAATATATAAAATTATCTTTATNGGTTCATTGTTGGTGGTGATTGTGGGCAGTAGCTAGTGGTGATGGTGGCTTACAATAATAGTTAATTGTGGTGGTAGTTGATGGTAGCAGCTAATAGTTATGGTGGATGATAGTAATAGCTAACGGTGATGGTGAATGATAGTCGTGGTTGGCATTATATAGTAGTGGTTGGTGGTGGTTTGGCGTTATATAGTGGTAGTTGATGGTGGTGATCGTTGATAGTAATTGGTGGTTGAGTGATAATGGTGATTAGTGATGATGATTAAAATGGTGGCTAGTGGCGGTGCATGTTGGCTGTGGTGATTGGCGGTGATTAGGGGTGATAGTTATTGTGATTGTCGATGGTGGTTGTTGACAATGGTGTAATAGTGGCAATTGCGGTGAAAGTAAATGATAGTATCTTAATAATATTAATACTTTATTATAGGTCTTAATCGCTCAGATCTATTCAAACCCATTTGTGAAATAAGAAAAACATACGCACTTAACGATTGAGATATGATGACTAAGATTTAGACCAAAAAAATAAATATATTTAATGACTAAAATCTAAATAATTAAAATTTAAAAATTTATTAAGTGCAAACAAATAAATCTTGAATGAATTATCGAATCTCAAATTTTACCCAAACATAAATAATATGCTTATTATGGAGTTCAAACCCAAAAATGGCTATTTATATGGGGTGGGATGGATGGTCATTGAATTTCAGTAATTTATTATTAAAATAACAATAAGCACATATGGTAAAGTCAATATAGAAGTTAATGCTACAATAATGTATGTTGTTACAGCAACAATAAATAATACTATGGTAAAGTCAATATGGAAGGTAACAATATAATGATATATGTTGTTGAAATTCAAACGATAAATTTATTTATGATAACACTATTTTTTGTCATTTAAAATCCTTTTTAAATTCCTCCATACCCCTTTTTTCTTGAAAAAAAACTAGTTTTTTCACCCCCCCCCCCCGCGCAAACCCTTATTACTTTTGGAGCACCACTAAATATTTTGCAAATAATAGATAGTACTTATAATTGGTGAACTTGTCGATATGTCAATAGTCTTTTGACAACTGATCATGTAATGTTAAGCCTTTTTATTGTGAAGTCCTCAAAAATCGCCAAAAGATATTGGCTCCAAAACATGGAAGAAATATTTTGACGAAGAAGACGTTGATAACTTTTTGACCCAAAAACGTAAATTTTTGTTCAAATAATTAATTTCAGTTAAATATAGATTAATCTTAGTTAAGAATAATATCCATATATCTTGTAAATAAGAGAAGGTAGTTGAATGGCGTTTATGAGTACAATAATGATTCTATGTAATAAATGTCTTTTACTATCAAGAACATCAACAGTATGTATGATATTCAATAAATGATAATATAATTGCACTCATGTAATTAAGAGGAATAATTTAATCAGCAAGAGGTGGAACAAAAAGAACCTTCCACCTCACAATGATTGAACGATAGATCCTCAAACGATTGAGAATTCCTCGGATCTGACAAGAATCTTAATAAAAAGTAAAGTCTAGTATTGAGTGAAGAATGAATCTTTTTCAAAATGTTAGTTCTTACAATTGAGTCTCACGCGCCTCAGTTCTCTCTCTTTTTTCTATTTATATTAGGCATATCCCTATTAAACCCTAATAGTACATGTAGAGAGAATATCCATAAAAATATTCTCTTTAACACCCTATTTCAAAAACTAGCCGTTGCAGCTTCATCGACGATGCTCGACCTCGACCATGATTGGCACGTTGACCACGACTCATGTCGACTCTTCGCCTATGAGTTTTACTGCTTCCTGATCCATCTCGACTAATGGCAGCTCAAGAACTTTTTCCTTAGTATTATCTTATTTCAAATATTCTAGAGCGGATTTTGACCCATACAATTAGTCCCTCCGCTCATTGAGGCCGGCCTCAGGCGGGCTTGATGAGCGGATTATGTTCATTGCAGTTGGAACGTTTGTACGAGCTGATTGAGTCGCGATGATTGAGGCAAACTGGCAACGCGTTTGTTCGTGAGCCGCAAATTTTGGGGCTATGCTGTCCATGAATCCAAATGACGTCACGACCTTACGCGTCATCATGATGCATATTCCCGATGCGTCGCTTCATTTTGTGTGGGACTCCTGATTGGTCCTGCCACTTCGATTCCGATGCCAGGCAATGATGAGGCAATTTTTTGGTTCTGACACCTGAATTTCTATAAATAGGGATGTGAGGATGCAATCTCGAATTTTACAGACTTCCTGCATTGAAACCATATATCCTCTTCTTCTTTTTCCATTGTTGCGCATCTTTCCCCTTCACTCCCGTGATCTTTATAGTTTTTAATCCTCTATTGTTTACTACCTTCCCTTAATTCGCCGAAAACATGTCTAATGTACCTTCTGAGTCCAGCGAGGGGAGCGACGCGATCCCATTAGTGATGGTGTTTCCCCCTCATGCGGAGGACGCTTCTGCGGCCACCTAGGACGGAAGCTTCCCAACAGTGGAGGAGATAGTTCCCCGTAATCCTGATATCAGGTCTGACTTCTCGAAACTACTTGAAGCCGCCCCCGAAACTTTTAAATCGGCGATGACGGAGGCTGATTTGATGGATCTTAAGGCAAAATACGGTCTCCCTAACCATGTCGAGATGATCCCTGCCGGGTGGGATGCGGTGCAGGTACACCGCCCTGGGTACTGCGCCTTCTACGCCTACCCATTCCACGTCGGTTACACTCCTCCTCTTCTTCCGTTGGCGGAGGAGTTTTGTCTCTATTACAGTGTTTTCCCGGCTCAGCTTGCGTCGTATATTTACAAACTCTTGAGGATGCTCACCAAGTTTGCGGAGCTGGCCCGGGTCGAATTCTCACTCCGACATTTGACACACCTATTCGCTCCCAGCTTTTACAGGGGGACGTTGTTGAATATCCGCCACCAAGGAGGCAAGTGCTTGGTGATGAAGATGGATAATAAGGCTAACCGCCAATCCTAGCTCAACTTCTTCTTTTTCAGAACTGAGGACGTGGTGGCCAATGTCGAGGGTTTTCCTGAGGTTTGGAATTGTACTCATAAGTACACGACTTCCTCGTTTGTAAGTATCTAATTCCTCGTCGTGCTTGGTTGTGGTTCTAACCTTCCATTCTTTTTGTGTAGCTATGTGTTTGCCTCCTCCCTTGGTCGACGATATTTCTGACTGGGTAGGACGGTTTCTTCCTCACATCACGGGGATACGTGAGTGGCCGGGCTTCGTCAAAAGGTTTGGCCCCCATCCTCCCCCGACTGGCAAGTTATCTTTATTATTAGCTTCTTGGCTATTTTCTGTTTTGGGTTCTCTTTGGCTGATATTCACTCTCTTCTACATTTTCCTTAACTTCAGCCAGGAGGTCTTAGACGTGATCGAGATCTCCCACCCCCGCATTCAGAAAGAGGAAGAACGTCAAGGACTCTACTTTCGCTCCTTCCTCTGCGGTATCATCTTTGGCCCGTGCCCCGGTCCCTCCTTCGATCGTTGTTGCCACTGCTCGTGCCTCGGCTCCTCCTGTTGGTACGTCTCGGTCTGCTCCTTCTTCGACCTCTTGATTGTACCGTCTCATAGACGAAGACGAGGAGGAGTCGGCACTTGGCGAGGAAGATTTGATGCCTCGCAAGAGGAGGCATGTGGATACTAGTGACGGGGTTGCCCGCACCGCCGACATGATAGAAGGTAATTTTTCGCTGCGTGAGATGGCGAGTATCGTCATTGGAGACGAAGCCGATGTCGACGCGTCTCCCCCTCCCCCCGAGATGATAGAGACGGAAGGGCCGGCCACCGGGGTCTCAAACACTTTGCGGCAAGATGAGCCGTCGACTTCGCAACCGGCTGATGACACTTCTTTGCCAACCATCGAAAGGGGCAAAGGTGTTGCTAAGGAAGACTATGAGACCGGCTCGGATATTGATGCCGGTAATCTTCGAATGATGGAGTAAGGTTTCACCCAACCTGAGATAAGGTTGGAGGGGTCTACGAGGACCATCACGATCACCATGAATCATGATTTGTTAAAGAACACGAAGGACGTGGTCCCCAACCTCAACCCACTTTATTCGGGGATAGAGGGCGAGACCCTTAAAGAGTTGGACGACGTTGCTCTGTTGAGGAGCATTGCTGGTCTCTTCCTTAGAGTGAGTTTCTAGCATTCTGTTTTCTCTTCTTTTTACCC